ACGGACCTGTTTCCCTCCGAAGTATTTTGAATGCCGTTCAACAAGCAACAAACAGCTCACCAGGAACTACAAATGAAACTGGAAGCAACAACAACGATGCAATAGATGGTCCATCTGGTACCGTTGGTGGAAATAGCAATGGCGTGAATTTAACCAGCACTAGTGAAAATACGACACTTAGCGATCTATTCCCAGCCGATGCTAAGGTTAATGGTACAAACTTATACAAAATACTTTCCAGCGCGAAAAAGCCAACTGTGAGTTACTTCATCCAACTCCTTGAAAGGTTTTCCGGTTCAACAATTGACAAGAGTAAATTCCTATCGTCCATTTTAAACAAAACGCTTGATTCATCGGTTATCGAGAAATTAAGTGCATTTAGCGGAAATGTCCCAGTTAAAACCCTTTTGAGTAGTTTATCTTTGACATCTCCATCGTCATCGTCGTCATCGTCGTTTTCGTCTTCATCAAATGGATCAAATGGATCATCTGGTACCGCTAATCAAAATGGAAGCGGTAGCAGCAGTGTGACATTTGACGGTTTCGTTCCAGCTGATGCTAAGGTTAATCTTAAAAACTTATACAAAGTACTTTCCAGCGCGAAAAAGCCAACTGTGAGTTTCTTCTTCGAAATCCTTGGAAAGTTTTCTGGTTTAACAATCTACACGAACAAAATGCCGAAGTCTGTTTTGAACCAAACGCTTGATTCATCTTTTATCGAGAAATTAGCTTCACTCGGCGAAACTGTTTCAGTTCAAACAGCTTTGAACATCCTTTCTGTGAGCTTAAATTAATCCGACTGAAAAATATCAAAATTCACTGATTTGAATAAATATAATTTGGAACACGAAATCGTACATTGTACATTATATGAAGACATTGTTTTCAATTAAATAATAAAGCTTTTGCATGAAATATTGTATTTTGAGATCACATATTCTAAAAGATAAATAAATCAAATTCACGGGGGGTCAAAAACCCCCAAGATGTGATTTTTTTGACCTGAAACCCAAAAATTCGGAATCAGCATGAAAAATTACCTTAGAATCGATATTTTTCTCATGCACGTTTTTTCACAAATTTTGGACCAAAAAAGTGTAAATTCGACTCCTCAAATCTTACAAAGTCGATTTTACATTATTTTTAGGGTTTTTAGAAATTTTCACTCCTTCATAGTGAGCCTGATATATGAGACACCCTGTATAAATCCAAAGTTTCTTCATAAATTCATTCATTTCTGTTATTTGGATATGAAAAGACATCGACAAAATATGTCATCTCTAGATATACACTGCCGCTAGAGAGTTTGGAACCACCTAAGTACTACTTTTCCGCACACACCTAGTGTGTAAGGTAAAGTATTGGAATTGGTCGAAAAATTAACGCCCATCAAAAATGTGTTTTCTGGGTGTTTTTGGGGCCAGGGAACACGAATCTAGTGTTTTTTTGATGTCCGAATGTATGTGCGTACCCTGTACGCTTTACGCAAAAATTTGATAACACGATAACTTTCAAACAAGAAAAGTAATTCAAAATCTGACTTCACAGGATGATTGGGGGTCCCGAGGAATAGAAACCATTAGATTTTGAGCGACTTTGGTTGATAGAGTAAAGTGTCATGTCTGGTGTGACATTCAATTTTTCCCCCAAAAGTGTTATTTAATGTATTCTTAAACACTCAAAAATATGTATTGGGGGTTTTTGGGTACAACAAAACCGAATATGACGTTTATTTTGCGATACAAATGTATTTCGACACACTTTTCATACAAAAATTTCAAAAAATTTGGATTTTTGAATGGAAGCCATATGGCATATGCCTGTATGATATCGTAATGAGTTGAAACTTTGCACAGGTTATTTTGATCACACAGAAATACCATTTCAAGAGTGCGAAGACATTTCAACGCATATTATTGGTACCTCCGGAACAAAATTTCGGATTTATCGCTCAAAAAAGAAATTTTGTATGGGAAGTACCCTTAATATGCATTAAAATTTCTTCAAACTTTCAGAATATTAACTTTCTGTGAAAAAATAACCTCTGCAAATTTTCACATGATTACGATATCATAAAGGCATGGCTGCGATACAGAAATTCCCATTTTTAGTAGTTTTTGTATGGAAAGTGCTTCGAAAATTATGTGTATCTGAAACTAATGTCAAATTCAGTTTTCTCGTGAATTCTTTGAGTAAAAGATTTGTAATAATTGCATGTCGTGGATCACGGTGCGGAAAAGTTCATCTTACGGATGTAAGAAATTTTATTTTTCATACAAAATGCCTTGAAATGACGTTTTTCGAGTTTTCAAAAATAATACTTTTTAACCTTAGAAATAATCAGTTTTCGGCATGTTTTTTCAATATATATTTCAGCCAAAAACATTCAAAAGTTTTTGAGTTCAATGATAGCTAAAAACAATACATGTTCATACAAAATTTGTCATTTTGGTCACAATTAATTTTGATTGAAATTTCTTAAAACAGGCATGGCTTCCATACAAAAATTCAATTTTTTGTATTTTTTTCAAAGAAACTGTGTCAAATATTCCTCGCTACCCCTAATCACCCTGAAAAATCAGATTTGGATTTACTTTTCTCTAAAAAGATCGTGCTAAAAAATTACCTATCGATTTTTTGTTACACCATACAGGGTACAGTGTACCACATCCCCACATTAACATGGCCAAAAAACCGTTGCTCTGTGATTTTCTATACCCAAAACGCATAGAAAAACGATTTTTAGCGATTTTAAAATTTTGGGTTGATTGCAATACTTTACTGCGCACAGTGGGTGTGTGGAAAAGTAAAAGACGATTCACTGATTTCCAAAGTTCTTTATTCAAAATTCATACAAAATACAATTGATGTTAATTCGTTGATTTAAGCTGTTAAACCAGATTTTTTTCGAAATTATCCGGTCCGAGCGAATCCGAGAGTTTCTTGTTCAAAAACCAGTAGAAATCCAGGTTTTTTTCTGTGTCACCCGGGCGTCCGAGCCTTGCGATTTTTCGACCAGGTTTTTCAATAAAAAGTTAAGAGAATCCGGGTTAATCCGAGCGACTGGTTGACTTATGTTAAAACTCTGCTAATTCTACAATTCTCTTGATTTTAGTTTGAACAATCTAAATAGTTTTCTATTGGAAAATAGTAAGGAATAAAATTTAATTAAAAATGGTTCCAAAATTTTGTTTGATAATTCCAGAATTTAAAAAACCAGAAGATATATTCTATCTTTACAATCTTCATTACATTCTTCAATATTCAACCATTCACGGTTGGTTATCATTAGGTTCTTTTTTACATTGCAACATTTAATATTCAATTTGAGACGACCTTCAACCATGCCCAACATCAAATTATAGTCGTCCTGTTCATAATCGCTGATGGTCGCAATATCCAATTCGGTCAACTGCGGTCCGTATTCCATCATTTTCTTTAAACCGGCGATAGTAAATCTTTCTCCCATTGGAAATAGACATGTAATTGAATAAATATTTGGTAAAAATTTGATGATGTCTATAATAGCTTGTTGTGACGTCGCGACGATATGTAATTTTTTCAGTGATACTAACTTAATGATGCTGCTCATTTCGTCTAATTGAACATGAGAACGAATTGTTAATTCTTCAATTTGTACATCATTTTCAACAAATCCATCAATTAATTTATCAAACGTCAAACTTGTCATGGCAATGCGTTCAAATGAAATGTTTAATGTTTTCAAATTTCGCATTCGGTTGATGTGTAGTAGATCTGCTTCGAATACTTCATAAGAACCGCAACAATAAATTTGACCAATAAAAAAGTCCACAATGTTTGGCAAATGATTGGCTATGCTCTTAAGAATGCTTGCGTTGAGCCGTTGTGTTTCCAGGTGAAAACTTTTCAATTGTGGATTTTTCGCGATAAAACCAACGATCTGTTCAATATTTGAGATATTTAAGTAAACTTCATTAAGCTTTGGAAAATGCCGTACATATTCATCGTCCATATACTTAACATAACATGTCATGTCCAAGTATTTTAATTCAGGAAAATTCTGAGAATTATTAAAACCATTGCATGATAATTTTTCCAACACCTCAAACTGTGCGCATGCCTTAAAATCCAAACAAAGTCCCAACACATTGAGTTGAGTCAATGTTTTGCCGCAAAACATCGAAATCAAGTTTAAAATTTCAACGGCATGGTCCTCGGTTTGTATATTATACCAATCAATTGACTTTACAGATGTACCGAACATTCTCAGGTAATCCTCTACTTTTGTTGTGCTTAATACATTGCCAGTTTTGGTGTCTTCGATATTTAGCTGTTTAAATTTTGATGGATAGCTATCTAATGCAATATCTTGAAATCGTGAACACGTATCAGCCGCATTCAAAAAATCTTCTGCACTCGGCATTTTTTGAAATATTTCGCGAATGCAATCATCATTGAGCGCATTCAAAATATTTTCGGGCGATTCTGCGTCAGGTGGCACATATAAAATGCTCAGGATTTCATCGAAATCTTCAGGTGCAAAACCCGGCAATATTATATTCATTGCACCTTTTTTGGTTGAATTTCCGTAGAACATTTCTTCTAGTGCACGCTGCTCTTCTAAGGCGGTCAAAAAATTCACTTCACCATCTCCGTCATATGAATATTCAATAAATGTCGATAATAACACATCATTTTTACCCGTTTCGACTATAATTTCATCATCGGAATCACCGTCACAATTTACATCGTAAGCCAGTTCCCAAGCATTATGCGGTAGTATTGGACTTCTGAATACTCTATGTATATTATTCATTTTCAACGAGAGTTCCCTTTTTTTAAAGAAAAAATTCACCAAAATTGATTTCTTGAGATTAGAGACACTTTTTCTTTGCAAACGATAAGGCTGTTTTCGGTTCGAGCGTAGAAATAAAACTGGTAATGTTAAAAGAATTCAAAAGTCACCAAAGAATTGCTTTAATAGAAAACAAGTCATTAGCAACTAAATAGTATTAAGAAAATTGCCAGTGTTGAAATCTTCAACATAGACACTAGCAATATAATTAGCACCTAGCGGTGAAAAACGCAAGCCATACATCTAATGCGCTCTATACTTAGACATTGTGACGTCGCAAATCTAGCACAGTGCTGCCTCTGACGGGCAGTTGCCGAGCGAACTATGGCAACATTGCAATGTACGATTTAAGGTGCAAGTGCAAGTGCAAGCGAATGCTGTTTACATATAAAGTAATGTGGTTCACAAGACAACCATAAGGCTACTTGGAGCTGTCAAAACAGCGTATGAAGACTATGACGCACACCGATCCTGACACTGGTCATTCATTTTTGTCATTAGCATGGATTGTTTCTCTAAGGAGGGCGCTGAGGAGGTAGAGAGCGCCTAAGAGGAGGAAAACTCGACAGAGAAAAGCACCTACAACACAAATAACCGATCTACAAAATTTTTCTCACATCAAAATCAACTTAAATCATAGTTGAATCGTCATTGCAATCGCATCTGCAAGAAAATTGAAGAAAAATGTAAAATTTGAGACCAAAGAAAAAGTGTTGAAATTAATGAAGAATTATTGATAATAAACGGCGTGAAGAAGAAAAAAATTTAACATCGTGAGAGAAATTTTTCTTTACCAAACATTTTCAGTGAACGAAAAGAAGAATAAACGGTTTTGATAGGTATCAATTGAAAGGATAATATTTTCGATCAAAAAATCAGCAAAGTTTTTGAGAAAAAACCAACAATGACGAATTTATCACAGAATCAAGTCACGCAAAAAGAAAGCCGAACTCCTAAAGCGAATAGTTCAAGCCGCAACCAAAAGAATGGACGAAAGGTGTCATTTTGCCAGGATAAACAAAAAGGTAATAAAGAAAATTACATAAAAAAGTCTTCTCGCAATACACCACAGCATTTATCTAAATCACCCAAAGACGTTGGAATGATGGAGAGTCCGAATGTAAAAAATCATCATCGTCATTTTAATAATCATCAGAAGGATCAACGTAATCATCACGACGGTAGTCCGGCTGGTCGTACTGTACTGCGTTTCTCTAATTCGTTTGTGTCGCCGGTCGGTGTATCGACCACCACACCAAATTTGAATTTTGCTTGCAGTAAATATTTCGAATCGCCATCAGCAAGTTCTCTGCCCCGGCCACCAAGCAATTGGACCGCACCCAATTATACACAGCGGCGTCTATTTTCATTCAAAGGTGATGAAAAGGGTTTGATAATGGAAACCGATAAGACCAAAAATTTGTGCGGTGATTCTTTTCCGCCCAATTCAAACTTACTTTTAAATCTTTCGGCCTGAGACACTAATGGGTACCATAAACAAAGAAGCCATAGATTTATTGCCTAAAACGATAAAAAAATAAAATTCACATATAGTTGGTGCTGCATTCTATGCAAACTTGTTTTCCGTTGCAACGGACTAAGTGGAAAGTATACGCTTATTACATAGAATGTAGCGCCAACTATATGTGAATTTTATTTTTTATCGTTTTAGGCGGTAATCTCATTGAACTTCTTTGAACTTTTTCAATAAACAATAGCCAATTCTCAACATTCGATGCAATTTACAATGCATAGGACAAACAACAAATCAATTTATCAACAAGTAATGCACCGACTTCCGAAGCAAGCGATTTCTACAATAACAAAATTACACTGAAACCATTTAATACCAACGAACCATAAATATTTTTTTCTTATTACTTACCGCCACTCGGCATTTTGAAGTTAATAAATAACATTCAACACATACATTTTGAGAAATTTTTTAAAAAATCTCATTTTTAGGGGAAATTTTTTCATTTCTGACGTTTTAATTTGCAGATAAAACTGAAGTTTTAAGAATAATTTTTGTAAGTACCCAAGAGATTCGCATATTATGGGACCATAGTCTTCATACGCTGTTTTGACAGCTCCAAGAAGCCACCTGATGATGTCTTGTGAACAAACCCGGTAATATGATGACTATTGTCCGTTCCCAAATCTACGACAACGCCATCTCTTGTTCCCCATCTGTTGTGAATTTTTTAACCAACCAATATTGATTGGTTCAAATTAAATAGTTTAATATAAATTCAAAATGGGTTCAAGTCTAATCCCGACTATTTGAAAAATCCTCAGGTAAAATATTAAAACATGTGCGCATGCTCAGCTTCGTTTCTGTGATGACCACTTTAAGCGTACATGTGATGCTTGTGTATGTATTGTTTCTTTAATCTCTACAGTGTACTTTACTGTCAATTTCGCTCCTTCAAATCGATGGCAATTTATAATAAAATGAATTTTGTATCAACAAATGATTTTAAATTTGGTTTCAATGATTTGAATGAGGGTTTTTTTTTTCAAAAATGTGGGATTAAAATTAAATTCTTTTATTTTATTTTAAATTAAAGTGAAAATTTTGTCACAGAAATAGCTACTGCTGTGTAACCAAAGATGGCGTTTTCGGTTTGGATGCCAGTGACGTTTACATATAAATATGTCAACGCAATCCCCGGTTATTGTGAACCACATTACTTTATATGTAAACAGCTTTCGCTTGCACTTGCACCTCAACATCGTACAATGCATTGTTGGCATAGTTCACTTGGCAACTGTCAGAGGCAGCACTTTGCCAGATTTCCGACCTCACAATGTTAAAGTATAGAGCGCATTAGATGTATGTATGGGACCCATAAACACATAGTATGATTCATTTTACCATCTATGATTCTGTTGGTATAGCAAAATGCTGTTTTACTCTGATTACTTTTGATTTTATCATCTGTGTCTGTTAAGAGTAAACTCCAAAAAATGATAATAAGCAAACGCATTACCTTTCAATGTGTTAAATCAATCAAATTTAATATTTTCTCATTTAAATTTATGACATCACATTTGCCACCAAAACTGAAAGCTTGAGTTGTGATAAGAAATTTGTTTGTTTCATTTCGTGTGTCAAAGGTCGCGCATATAAAAATCAAGGTCTCGTTTAATTCAAAGATCAAAAGTGGCATGATTTCATGAAAGCTTCTTGAACAGAGAATTAAAAGATGAAGTTCTTTCTTTGCACGTGCGTCACTTCGAACACTTATCACTGCTCTGTATTTTCCTAGAAGACATTTGTTGTTGCTATTGCATGAAATTCAAACGTTAAAGTTAAAACATTTTTAAAACAAAATTTCATTTAAAGCGTTTAGGGGTATGGTGGTTGAAAAGAATCATCACAAATGTAAAATTCTCTTATAAAACTCTACAGTTCAATGTCTATGCCATATAGCAAATCGTAAGATATTTTACTTGAAGATTTATTTTCTTCGTCGATTATTTGTTTTATTGGAATTTTTGTCTTCCCCCTAGCTTTGATCAAGATAATAATGTTTCGTTTTGAAACTTGATTTACTACAAAGAACCTTGAATGCAAATCAAATTTGGTCGAATCCCTATTCACCGAATTTGGAAAATTTTAACAACAACATTAACAAAAAAATAAAATGTGTAATCAATATAAAGTTCAACATTTTCACATTAGTCTTATTCAAATCGTCGGAAAAAAAACTGATTCTTTTGCAATTTAATACCGTGAACGAACAGATTGTTTCACATTTAAACTTGAATACACAAGATGCCATTTATTCTTGTGCAATATAATAATATTGATTTTATCAAACCTGTTAAACAGTGTTTAAGTCTCATCAAAGTCAGTTTTTTCGTATTTAATTAGGAAATTTCAATAAAATATTTAATTGTGTTGTGAATTTCTTTTGTCAATGATGGAAGTGAATATTTTGTTGGTTTTACTTTTTTTCTGTTTTGAAGTCAATGCGAATTCTGATTTAGATCATTGGCTGTTTATTGTTGCTCAACAAGGTAATTTTAAACTCTTATCAAAATATCTGTGATGAAGTGATCTAGGGGAATTTCTCACTAACAAAATGTATCGAATTCGTGCAGTTT